TTCCGCTTTCGAATGTCACTTGTTCCTGAAATGAAAGTGTGGAAAACATCAACTTATTTTGCAAAAACTAATATCAAGGTATGTATACCAATCTGAGAAAGCGGGAAAATCTGGAATTATCGGTAAACTTCATGCATCTGGAAATGCCACGGAAATATCAGGAATATGCTAAATTTGCCTGTTTCTTTTTATTCTTTATTTTATTTGTCGTTTTATTAGTCATTTTTCAAAAATGTTTTTTTTTAATTAGGTAACAATTTTTTTTTAAACTAATTATAGTCTGTTTAGAAATGAAAGAGAGTAATAAAAGCTTATTATGTATGCAAATCGTAAATAAATGTAGTACTGGTGCTTATATTCAATATTTTTATATTATGTATTTTCGGTATAGATGAGGTGTACTTTTAAAAAAACTTTGTGCGATCGGACTGTACTAAATTGTAGCAGGTAGCTAAAATTTAATCCCCGACAATCCGTCTTTGTCTATGCCGCTTCAATTTCTCGGTCCATTTCTCTTATAAGTAAACAATATAAAAACAGCATTTCAAAACATGAGGCTACTTTAAGCATCATAACCGGGTTAAGAGGGTTTTTAGTAATTCAAATAAAATTATTCAATATTATTATCAAAATATTTATTTAAATTTAATGAATAGACTTTTATTCCACACAAAAATATATGTATTTTGAAAATTCAAATTATGGTGAGTAAATGTAGTGTTGTATAAATGTACAATAAAGAAAATAAAAAAGTAGGTATATTAAAATTCATCCTCTGAATATTCTGATGAATTATCTTCGTCTCCTAGATTGATAACGATAGGTTCCACAGTAACGTCAATTAAATTATCGAGTTCCCACATTTTCTCCTCTTCTTTTTGTACATGATGTATACATCTTTGCCAGTTATCTGCAGTTACTCGTTCCAAGGAATTTTTTAACAAAATTTTCACGTCACTTAATTTAAACGTCGTATTATTTCGCGCTACATCTCCTTTTACCTGCGCCCAGACTAATTCGATTGGGTTAAGTTCACAGTGATAAGGTGGTAACCGTAGTACCGTTATTTGGCGATTTGTTGCCATTTCATCGATAACATATTTTTTCTGATCTTTATTAAGATTGACAAGTGTCAAAAGTTCCTTTTTCACCATATTTGTTTCAAAAGAAATGTTTTTTCCGGATAACCATTGAATTATATCGGCTTTCCTCCAAGCAGTCGTAGGCGTCCGCTCGGTCTGCCGTGAATGGTAACTGGCATTATCCATGACAATTACAGACCCCGGAGGAATAAGATCCAACATCTGTGTAAAATACTCTTCGAAAACATCTGCGTTCATGTCTTCGTGATAGTCACCTGTATTTTTAGATTCAAATAAAAGTAAACCGCCATCTACAAAACCACTGGCACTACCTATATGTGTCACTATTAATCTTCGCCCTTTACCTGAAGGTGCCTTGAACCCTGTTGAAAGTCCATCCAAAAATGCTTGTCGAAAACTTTTTACATTTTTATCTTGCCATACTTTTGTTACAGTATATCCCTCGTTGACCCAAGTTTCGTCTAGATAATAAATATTCCTCCCTTCGTCACGGAATTTTCTAATTGATCTTAAGTAGGATCTTCGCCAACAAATAATTTCATCTTTATCGATAAGAACTGACTTCCTGTTCTGCTTTTCCCAGCAAAAATTCAACTCTCGTAAGACGGCCCATAATTTGCTTCTACTGATTTTTGGCAAATCGTTGTCCTCTGAAAGTTCACTTAAAATTTTGTTTAGCGTTGGTATTTCTTTTTTAAAATAAAATGAGTGTACTTTTCTGCGAATGACATTTTTGAAGAAATCATCTATAACGACTTTTGACCTCCCTGTAGATGATTTTGGGGGATTTACAGTATCTTGTTCATTTTTTGTTTCCTTTAAAAGTCTGTAGATAGTCGATTTTCCAATCCCTGTCATTTTTGTTAGCATTAGTGTTACCCGAAATTACCTGAAGCGAAATATTACCACGCCCATGGCCGGTTCTTATCTCGGAATTTTATTACTCTCTTTCATTTCCAAACAGACTGTAACATGATTCGATTTTTTGGAAAATTTTACCCCACTTTTGATATAAATACGTTGTTTTCGTTAACAAATAAAGAACACAAAAAGGTTGAAATTGGTAAAATCCCAATTCGCACTAGTGTGACCTTTGAGGTGACCCACCCCAAGTGTGACCTTTGATGGTTGATGGTGATGGATTGAGCTGATCATCTATTCCCCCATCTTGTTCAGTGCACTCCAATAGTGATTCACAAAACCATCACATAATGTTCTTGAAGAGTAAAAGTTGCCGTTGTTACAATTTTGCACCACAATCGCAGGTAAGTCACTGAATTAACAACGAAACGCATTCTAAAAACTCGCCCAATATTCATGTGTAAACACAAGAACGAATATCTTGTGAACTCTGACAAGCGAAAACAAGACCCAGGAGACATACAGGGTGTTAATGAACGTAAGTAAAAAATTAAGAGGTGAAAAAGGAGCGAAAAGTGAGTTAACTGATGTCACAAACTTGTATGTATGACCTTAAACTTCGGTCATAGAGAAAAAGGCTAATTAAAAATGTGCTTAAAACTGTTTTGGAACTGCTGGAATACATGTTTTATAGCGGCTAGTACTTACAAAAAAGTTTGTAACACTTTATATGGTTTCTTATGAAGCCGGACTGTATTTGAAAGTCGGTTTGTAGTACATTGTTGTAGTGATTGCTGTGCTGTTTTTCGAGAGTACATTTAATAGCCGTATTTCCAAGTTGAATTGCCTAGACGCTTAGATGGTGCTTCATATCTAGATTTTTTTTTGCAAAATCGCTTGCCGGAGTTATTGGAAGACGTGCCATTAAATGTTCGGCAAATTACTTTTTTCGGAGAGTGTGCGACTTTCTAAACATTATTTTTCCCGATCGCTGGTTACACCAACTGCGACATCGTATTGCATAATACGATTAGAGAGGACGTAGCAATATTGCAACGCATGCGAGCGAATTGGATACGTCGCGCTGAAGCTTATGTACAAGCAAATGGTGGGTACATCAAATATCTTCTATGAAAATCAGCAGTTCTCAAAACGTGGCTCCTTGCAATGTTGAGGCAAGGCAGATTTTAAAATTACATTTTACTTAACACAAATTCGTGTATTTACCTCACTTTGACTTAACTTAATCCTGTATTATGTTTCTTTTGAAAGAGAATATGTAAAATATTGTAAATACAAGCACACCTCTCAATTAGTTGTACGAAATGCCCCACCGAACAAAATGCATCTGCTTTAATTCCGGCTTTTGAATAAATTTATTCTTTAGGCGACTAATTAACCGACTCCGTTTGCCGTGTATTTACTCTATTTCGTGTAACTGTAAAATATTCATTCGCGTTTTGCGAATTTTCTGGAAATTATTATTCGCTCTCTTGTCCGCGTTTGCTGCACCAGTAACAAAGTTTGTGTTATTTTGGACCTTAATTGTTTCAAATTGTAAATGCGCTCGTCGAGTTCTCCTTTTTCAGTATTTCGTTTCTCCTATTGTTTGTCGGTAGGACTTGGCATGTCGTGTTGATTAAGCTACAATGATATTATGAGTGTGACACTGCTCTCGGAGTTCTTTTGACCCGATAAACATGATGACGGGCTTTATTGTGTTGAGTGAATACCAAACAACTAAAATGTAATTAACAATTTACTGTATTATAGTTCATTTTGAATTAAATTGGACGTAGAATTAGTGAGGCGTTATCCTTGAGTTATCAAAGAAATTTCATAGATCTGGAAATTTTAGAGAAATGTTAAGAAATTTCTCTAATTTTCATGAATTTTTTTCAAATTCAGAAGTTAAATAAAAAAAAATAATTTCTCGAAAGCTGTTAAAGATAAATATGGCAAACCTTATATCAATTGAATGGACATTTAATTTGGCATTCAACAATAGCAATTAATTTGGGTAATTTCATTTGAAAAAAAAGTTATTCGTCTTCTAATATTGTCAGAAGTAGTTCTGAAAATTTCCTGTCCTGAATAACGTAAAAATAGAGGAATTTGTGCTGAACCGAACTGTCTATATCGCATGCTCCTAACTCTTTTAGTTTAGATGCTACTTAGATTTATTCAGAGGTGAAATCGTGATTTTTTCCAAAAACAGTCAAATATCTCGTAAACGACGAGTTCTAGATACCAAGTCAACAAAATCAAAGTAAAATTAAGCTAGGAATCCGAAAAAGCACGAAGAAATGTTTCACGATAATAGTTGTTTACATTTTTTCCTTAGGATAAGTCTGCTGCGTGCACACGTGGTATGCATCAGCTGTATGTGTAGCGTTAGGTTAAGCGCTGTTGTCACGTTGTGATGAAACTCCCCAATATTAATACTCGCTGTACTTTGAAAACTGTTAATCTTGTGTCCCTTTAATATACAACTTTTTTGTTCATTTATGATTATTCTATCTCATGCTGAAGTAATGGCAGTCAAACTTCTTACACCCTGTATATTTTTAATACTGAAGAAAAATGATTAAAATCCCATAATTATAATTACTTACAATAATTTCCATTTTTTTTATGGTATGCTACATTATTACAACTTTATTGATGTTTCCAGCCTACATTTATTTAAATATCACATCGTCTATGCATGCACTTACCTTTTAATTCTGTACTTTGATATTTGTTGGGTGTCATTTTCAATAGTACTACAGATATATGTATATTATCAACAGTCTTTAAGTACCTACCACTTGTTATAATTCTCATTTATGTTTAAAACGAGATAACATGGAAAATTAATGTTAGTCTATCTTTTGCGGATAAAGCAATTACAATGTATGCATGTGAAACTTATTCATACTCCACAATTCACAAAGTGTAACAATACACCACCCTTTCTTAGGCGATTGTGTGAGATTGAAATTAATAGGGATGCAAATTTTGGGGATGGATTGAGTTTTAAATGAAATTCCACAATAACGACGACAATATGTTTAATTGCGCCTATTCAAACTTAAAAAATGAACACGGAACATAAACGACTTGGGGCAAGTGTTTATCAAAAACTACCACACTAGAAGTGTGTGTGTTAATTAAAAATAATATGAATAGTTTTGCACCCAGAAACAAACCATGGATATTTTCTATAAAAATATAATTTCCCTATTACATCAAACTTTATTAAATAAATAAAATTGGGCCAGACTTATTCCCTGGCGGGTAGCCCGAACAGCTCCGGTTTAAAATCGTTCAGGGACTGTAACACTAACGTAGCTTGTTTCCTGAGTTCTTTACCGACTTCGGATGACGGAACCATGACGGCTTGCATTCCCGCTGCTATTGCCCCTCTCACCCCATTCGGAGCGTCCTCTAGGACTAGACACTGCAGCAGAATAACTTATCATTTATTAATAACGTCTATATGCTGCACTAAGTTTAATGAAATGTATGTTGACTTAAGGCCTATAATAAACGTTGACTAACTTTTCAACATTGTTAAAAACAGTATTTACGAGATTAATAATATAACTTTACTCATTTATTTTCATACTTTAAAACCTTGCATTCAAGTTTGAAAATAATAAAAAATTTAACAGCAATTACATATTTTCTACTGAATAACAATGAAGATGTATTAAATTACATAATCATATTCAAATATTGTAACCGATCAAGTATTTTCCATTGTTAACTTAGTGAATTAAGCTATTATCGCCTGAAGATGATAAAATTAAATTAGAAACCTGTGTTTTCTCCTCATTTGATTGTTTAATTTCAAATAAGCCATATGTGTAAGTCCCGATTTATTTTATATCCTCAATGATAAAATATATATAAAATTAAATAGCAAATTTACCAGAACTAGTTAAAATTTATTTATTATTGCTAGTATACATAAGAGTTAAGTATGTCAACTTGTTGATTAATCTTAGGAGTAAAACAAGATTCAATAAAAAGATTAGAATACATTGATTGTGAATAATTTAAACATCAGTTATCCAAGAATGATCAGAGCATGATATTTTCAAGTGGTTTAATAGTTTGCAATAATCGATATATAATTATTAAATGTAATCACACATTTTCAATCAAATAACAATCACGTTTTATCACCTCTCAATCATGATTTTGGCATGAACCATCGTTATCAATGATTGTTTATATGTATACATGATTTCATCCATTTTTTTTTAATGTTTGGCCTTTATTGGAAATTAGAAACATGTAATGTCATCAAGCCATTTTGACTAAATACAAATATGCACGTTTTTTTAAATATTTTTTTTTTGGTAATGCTATTTGTTGTTTGTTACGTTTATGTACGATTATAGAATTATAGAATAAATATATAGAATTTCTATGTATAATTATAGAATTATATAGTTTCTGTAAAATTATTATACCTGAGACGGATGGGGCTTATCGGGGAACCTCGAGGCACACGCCAAAAATATATCAGGGGCAGGTTTTCCATTCTTGACCTCGGGATCGGTACTCCCACAAACGATATGTTGAAACAACTTAAAAATATCCTGATGGTTCTTTGTCTTAAGCTCCATGGCATCCTGGGCAGAAGACGTCGCCACTGCTATTGGTATCTCGTTCTTATAAAAGTGTCTGACCAATTCCTTAGCTCCCGGCATTAGAACTGGGTTTTGCAGCTCTTCGTGTACTTTTTCCTTGAAAATTATAAGGAATTCTTCAGGCGAAATGGGCAGACCCATTTCTGTGACAGCTATTCTAGCTGTGTCCTCTTCTGGGGTTCCCAAAACTTTCAGTCTAACATCTCTGGTATATTCTTTACCGTACACCGCTGCTATGTCTTTTACGATTTTCTCATACACAGACTCGGACTCTAAAATCAATAATAAACATCGTTAAATTTAAATTTCTGTATTAGAAAAAAGAAACAAAGATTTAAAGATCGATATTTATCCAGCACTATTATACTTTTTAAAAATGGACACTTACCAATAAGAAGTCCATCCATATCAAAAATAACGTGGGTCACTTTCTTTAACATCATTTTCAAACGATTTGAATCCTCTTTAATTTTTTTCTCCGACTTCCCAGAGGAAATAAACAGAAAGTGACAAAGAACACTGATTTTTTTCTCTAATGTCAATCAGATCGCTCGTAAGTGCAATCTCCGATTGACCGGTTGTATCGCCGTCCTTTTATAAATCCCAGTTTTTAGCATCATCAGCGAAAATACACATACGTAAGCGGGACTCGAAAGCTCAAGTATTAAGAAATGTTATATTAGTTCGTGCATAGTGACAGTTACATGTCAACACATTGAATTTGATTTTCAAGTGGCACTTATGCTGCCTCACGTTTAAAAGTTGTGATTTTTATTGATTTTTATTTTATATCTGTTGCTTATCCATAAAAATTTAAATAATTTAATTACTCACACCGACAGGCATAATTATTGTACAAGACAAAGGGAGAATCTCATACCGTCCTTTTCGAGACTAAAGATGCAGTTAACAAAATCGATTTTGTACAATATTTTTTTTAAACTTGCATTATAATAAAAATATAAAATTAAAGAATTATAAAACTTTTCACAAATTATCCAGAGACTTTCTTATCAGCGAACGTTTTTACAGTGTCGAAGAATATCTTGAATTCACACCGCTGATTTAGATTTTTACAAACTTTTGTTAACTTTTTTCACTGTCTGAATCTTGTTCTCTCTTTTGCCTTTATTCAGTCTTTTTTTTTAATATAAATACTACATAAAATAGAGCATCAAAATATAAAATCCAGACAAAGAACTTAAGAAGTATAAACAATAACAGACAAATAAAACAAATAAGCTAATTAACATATACAAGATATGGATTACATTTGCTAGACAAACAATTTTTTTATGTCATTCATAGAATGAAAGATAAGTCGATCTTAATACTTCTGGTAATTGGAAATCATTTGATATAGGGGAGATGCTATTGGTAAATTGGTACGAGGTGTGGGTAATTGTAAAATAGAGTGAAATCTAGAATTAAGTCTAGGAACATGATATAAAATCCTGGAGACTAACGAGTCTACATTTAAAGTGTTATTATTTATGATTTTAAAAAGGAATATAATTGAAAACATAATTTGCCTACGACAGAGACATTGCAATTAAAACAAGAAAGCAATAAATTTTGAGGCGTACCACGAGAAGGATGAAATCCATAATTAATAAAATGAATCTTTAAAAATCACTGCTGTACTTTCTCTAACTGAATATTATAAATATTATAAATGGGACTCCAAATAACCGATGCATATTCAAGTTTGCAACGCACAAATGCTGCATATAATATATTTGAACCTTTACATTCTGAAAGTCCTTAGAATTACGCAGAATAAACGATAATCTAGTATCGAACCAAAGTCAGTAAATTGCGATCAGTAGATGATTTAACTTCCAAGAACAACTTCAGGTCATCCGGATAGAGTAAATAGTTGACATTGAGGCATGCAGTTAAATCATTAATAAAAATAATAAATAACAGTGATCCCAGGATTGACCCTTGCGGGACTCCTAAAGATTGATGGAATTTGCATTATTGAAAGCCTCGATACTGCACAAATTGGTACCTATTACTAAAATAGGATTTAAACAGAGATAATAGAGCAGGGGATATACCATACGACTCCAATTTCAATGTTAATAAATTATTATCAAGTCGATTGAAAGCTTTGGAAAAGGTATACACAATATCAACCTGACTTCCTACATACAAAGCGTCAGCAATAAATTGGTGACATTTATAAAAAACGATGAATTAGCTAGATTTTTACAGAATTCGTGTTGAAACCATAAGACATTTATTATGACTAATCCCTAAACAACTTAAATGTTTCCTGTCCAATTCCCCAAATTGCAAACTGTAGTTAAGAAGTGCCGCGAAGACATAATGAATGTTAGTTTATCAGACTGGTACAATGCTTAAATAATTACTAAAATGGAACACCGACAATTCCGTTCCACTCGTCAGAAATAATAAGTTTTGTCAGTTGGAAAACTTGTCACCTTGAATTCGTAGATTACATTAATCCTTTCCGGGGATGTTTTCCATATCGCGCGGCCTCCGGGAAACTCACGGGCCCAGTCTTAAAGACACTAATCTATTTCATGATTTTTTCTTTTTAATCACGTACTTCGTGATACCTTACTTATAAAAATTCAAACGTTACTTAAATTGTAACAGTCCCTAATCGTCTCGATTACTAAAAAACGTTCAACGGTATGCGGTATTGCCCCGTAAACTACGCCATTGGTCGTGTTCCATCAAAGCGAGATTCTGAAACGGAATGAATTCGAAGCTTAAGTGGGCGAAAATAATTTCTTGCTTCCTGACAGGCTGTGAAAAATTTATGGCCGCGCGGAAGTGATGAGTACCGCCCTTTTTTCATAAAATTTTCTTAATAAAACAAGTTTAATCTTGTTTTCATGTGGAGCGCGGAACGGCAGCACATTAGTCTGAGTTGTTTTATTCATTTCCCCCCGTATTGCCCTTATCTTGGTTATTTATTGACTTGATAGGCACGGGTGGTGTTCAACGCTTGATATTTGATACTAAATATTGTTAATATGCTGTGTCCCTGTGTTTGTAACCTTTCGCAAAAACAACGCGCGCGTCTTTGTCTAAGGGTGAATCCTACACAGTCAAAGGTCACTCGACTTTGAAACGTTTTTTAATTGAATTTTTAATAAAGTCAGTAAATAGAATCATTAAATACTTGTTTATTTATTATGGTGGATTTTCATTATCCGTTAGCATTTCTGACATCGTGGTTTCAATTTATATTCTTAAGTGCAGACATGGATATCTCACTTTATGGACAAACACTGGAATTTTTATGTCTAGGAAAGTTATATAATTTATTTTTGCAGTAGCCAGAAACAGTTATTTACAACATAAAGGAGCTAAGTATTATTTACCAGTTAAGGACGGGCTATAGAGTCCGAGACTGGTAAATTATACTTAACTGCTGGGTGATGTATAATATTTTATATGCTCCCACAGTTGTTTATGGTTCATGAAATAAGGATTAGGTTTTATTTTTTTACACTTCTTAATCAATTCATTTTGACATTATTCGAAATCTTGCAAAGTCGTCTTTGTTGTTTGGATTTTGTCGTTTATAAGGTGTTTATAAACAAAGGTACATAAAAGTAAGCAATTTTTCTGATTTTGAATTATTATTTCTAAATGAGTTATTTTCAAAAAGAAGTGCAGCAAATGCTGCCTGCGAATTTTTATTGCCCGAGAAGTCGAAAGTGAGCTACGGTCGAGCATATAGAAATTTCAATGAATGGTGCCAGAACAAAAATATTGGTGCTTCTGAAATGTCACTGCTAACATATTTCATGGAGAAGTCAAGAACTTTAAAGTTACCGGCGAGTTTGTGGAGTGAATACTCAATGATTAAGTCAACTATTTTCATAGAGGATAATGTGGATATATAAAAATACCCCAAGCTGAGAGCATTTTTGAAAGGTAAGATTGACGGCTATACACCTAAAAAGTCAAACGTTTTTACAAGAGAACAAACCAACGATTTTCTCGTTCAGGCACGTCAAAAATCGTCAAAAAGGGCAAAAATTGGCCAAAAATAAAAAAGTAGCCAACTTTGATCAAATGTATCTCGGTTTCTATTAGTCGTAGGTACTTCTATAAAAGCTTATTTTAAAGGAAAACACATTAACTTTTTTTTTCTGTGAAGCAATGCCTATACCTAATTCCTCTCAGAAAAAAGTTGTGGGCCAAAAACTAAAAAGAAAAAAAACGCATTTTTTCGGTTTTTTTACTTGTTTTTTGGGCATATTTTTGTTAAATATAATTTTTTTGACTTTAAAATGTCTCATTTCGATTGGAAATTCAATTTGCTACAACTTTTCTGATGACAACTATTTAGAAAAAATTCATAGTTTTCGAGTAAAACTCAAAAAACTGAAAATACCACCTTTTTACTTCGTTCTCAAAAACGCACCCCTTTAAAAGGTAGCACTCCGCGGTTTTATCATTTTTTAGGGTCAATTAAACATATCAAACAATAAAATTTCTGTTACGTTGTAGTTCCTATCTAAAGTACATAGTCAATAGCCTAAATGTTACTAAATGTAATAACTGCACAATTACTTTAAATGTTCTTCATAGTAATTAATAAAATGTAATGTTCATCAAATATTTCTATCTATTTGTTCATAAAATATGTATTTATAACTCGAAATCGCTTTTTTCCCGTTGTCCATAGCAACTTCCATTTCTACGCTAAAATCCAGTTACCTCCTTTAAAACAATGTATTTGCAAGTCTATTTACTATAGTGGGCGTAGATAAAATAATAATTAATTGTATGGCATAAATTTCAACATATCAAAAAAAAGACGAAATAAGATGTGACCCTATCGAATACATATCTTTTTGGTCTTGCAATAACGATTTGCCGGGAATTGCTACACCTGATCGGAACGTTAAAAAATTTTTGTTTTTGTGTCCGTGCCGGTTTGCTGCACATAATAATTAGTAATTCAAATTTGCGCCTGTGTAAGCAGCCATTAGGGAATTAAAAAGTTTTTAAAAAGTTAATTCCAAGGAAGTTTTCCGCGAGGGACTTTTAAATACGTTAACTTCTCAATCTCCTTAACGTGGCCCGTGCCTCAGCCAGCGCCGGAAATTCCCGATAGTTGATTAAATACAAGAAGCAAATGAAGTAGTTCGCTACATATTACTCTATTTTTATTTTAATTAAATGCAGGAAAGTTAGTGTAGCTTCATTAATTACGGAAGGAAAGTTTCCTTGGTAGTTCGCGTACCATTCAAATTGGGGCGTAGAAGTATCCTTCTCTCCGTAAAAGATAGGTAGAGCGATGCTTAAAAATTAATTTTTAACAGATATTAAACTTCCGTTTTCATCCGAGGATTGGAGTGGAATCGAAAACGGCTTTCAAGCCGAGGCATTATTGTTAGCCCTGCCAGATATCGGCCGAAGTTAATAACGGCCCAAAACTTTTTCAATGCAGATGAATATTTAAAATTTACCAGAGGAAATTATACGACTTATAAGAAGCAACTTTACTTTATCGACTCGTAGAATCATTTTTTATTTATCGCAAAACATCTGTACTTGAGCGTTATTACCGTTTCGAGTCTAGA